ACAGTCACAGAGCCCCTGCCAGTGGCTGGGTAAGACACCAGCACCCATTGGCTGTGCAGTGCGGGTGTGATTGGCTCCCCCACGCTGCTGCAGCACAATGTCATTTGCTGGGGGAATTTGGGTGGCTGCTGCTCCAGCCCATCCATCGCCATAGGCCGCCTGCACAAGCACGTCCCGACCGCACGCTCTCATTGGCCGTGGGTGCTGTGCAACACCCGGACTGCTGCTCCCAACCCAGCTCTGGGTCTGTCACCTTCAGCTGCACAAGCGGAGCAGAGCCTGTATGCACAGCGACACACACTGTAACAGCTCTGTCCAGTTCTAGCACTTCCTGTGAGATGAGGAAATGGAGTTTTCCAACAGAGAAAACAAACGTTTTCCTGCTCATTGCGTCACATCGCACTGTACACGAACACACACACACACACAATACACATGTATTTAACTCTGCATATCACATTGTGCATTTACTGCTTATCAGCAATTTCCTTTCCTGCACTGAAAAAACATGCATAGAAACGCCAACTACAATGCTTCCATAGTCCATCTTCAGCTGGAGGATGGGATGGACTAACAATAAGCTGCATTGTAAAAACCATAATCAGAAGAGCAGAGTAGGGAAGAGTAGAAACCCTGCTGTTCTCTTTACACTGCATTATGTAAAGAGTACCTCTGTTTATTGCTGGGGTGTCTCCAGTGGCATCACAACATCCTAACAAAGACATTATACTACTAGAGGCTTTATCTAGCTCTCTAACCCTGCAAACTCCTTCTCTCAAATCCCTATAAAACATAAACAGAAAAGGAGTATTTGCACAAGCACGTCAGGTACGTTTACTTACTGACTAAATAAATGTTGCAGAAAGGTTGCTTCCAATCAAAATCAACAAGCAGAAATGACATAAGATTTTAAAAGCCATGATTAACTAGTCTGCCTTATGAACTCTGCTGATACAGCCATCATGCACATCATCAGCCTGCCTGTAGATCTCGGATCTTAAAGGAAACGCTGCAAGTTCAGAATGAACCCAGGCAGAACTGGGGTGCTTCAGCTGAAACAGATAATGTTTAGAGAGCTCATCAGATCAAACCCTCTACATTCTGTGGAGGTGAATTCTAGATCCTGTTTGACACCCTAACAAACCTAGGTAAGTAGGTATTGTGAAGTTTCAAACATCTCTTTTTAAACTGCTGTGAAGAGATTTGTCTCAGCTCACGATAGGGATTTACTTTCTCTTCTCTACAGTTCAAAAGATGGACTTTCTCTTCATCATCATTTTTCCACCACAGTAAAATGCATAAGTGAATAAATGAGGATGGAAGGGCTTCTCAATGTCTGCACACTATTAATGATCTTAGTATTTGTCCTGAAACAACATTTATTCCGATATCATTGATTATCAAAACAAGTCAACAATGCCTCACAGATAAAAAGCATACACAGCATAAATGAAAGATTATTTTGGCAGGGACTCCTTCAAGGAGGTAAACAAATTATCATCAAGAAACAGCTTGCAGAAGCTTAATTTACAAGATGCACAGTAAAAATTGAGTGCGAGCCTGTATTTATTGTGAGTGTATTATTTATAATGCTGTTACTTGACAGCCGTGCTTTGACTGCTCTATTTCCAGTTCAGACTATTCAAAAGAACTCAGGACTGACCCAAACTGTGATCTTTAATTCTCTGTGTTTTTCAAAAATGTCCAATGGTTTTCACATAACTGGAGTATATTGTGAATAAGCAAAATTCAGCTCCATTAAGTACATCACAATCATGGACCATGAAATATGTTTTGGGTAAGTTCATCCATTTGGCACTGTACCGAAAAGATCCTCTTTCCCAACAGAAGCAGAGGTTTGAGGAAAAGGAATTTTTTTTCCTCTTTCATAGTTCTCCTTCACCATGACACCAAGGTTAAGGAAAAACCATGAGAGAGCATACATTAATTATGTTGTGCTCATGAGTAATAACCTTCTTTGCCATTGGAACACAGAGCAACCCCCTCACTAGTGATGTTTAGCATACAACATCTCAGCCCATAATTACTCCAGGATTTAAGAATAACATTAGTGGTAGTTAAAATGATGAGACTGATCATTGACAAGTTTAACCTGTTTTTTGATGCTCATTAAAAGGTATGTGAAGTTCCTCTCTAGGTTTGCTTCACTTCCTGCTCACCCAGGGACACGCTGACTGGAACAGAGAGTATTCCTGAAAGACAAATAAAAGCTAATCACTGACCAGTTTTCTGACATACAGTTTTCTGCACTTTGGTTCTTTTCATTTCCGTTCTCTTCATTTCATAAGGAATATTCATCCACCTGAATATCCTCTCCTTGCCATTTAAAACATGCACAATAATTAACTATGCACAGAAGTATTGCTTTGTTAAGTCTCTCTTTAAAGTTACAGGGTTTGTTTTATTTATGAAATGCATCCATTTCACTCTCAAATATGTCTAGGTCCAGATCAACCTATAATTAATGAGAAAACATCGTCAATAAACAACATTATTACTAAATCAAATGTGTAACTGATACATCAGCACCATCCAACTCTACCAGAAATACCTCCTTCCAGTTTACAAGCTACCTGCAATTTAAATGGCAGAGATTACTTCCCAGAGCCTTGATATCCACAGCTTAGATGCTGTCTCACATACACACCCCAAAGAAAGCTTACTAAGTGAACTGGACCTGCATGTTTGCTTCATTCCCTAGGGAATGACAGCAACCCTAGAGCTGCTTTGAGTTTCACTTGATGCTAAGATTCTAAAAAGGTTCTGAAGGCTCTGCTGTTCCCTCAACTTTCCCATATTGGTTTAAACAACTTTCCCTTAAACACCTCCTGAAGTTACACCGGTGTTGGCAAAGTTACATACTTACAAAAAGCGACATAATGCACCTCAAAGTCTTTTATCAAGGCACCGATGTATGAATCCATCCGACGAGACCTATACAACCTGCTATTCAAAACTAAGTCATTAGAACATGCTTGTTTTGGGGAGATACCAACCACATTGTTAGGAAGGCTCTCCCTTTTTCAAGAGAAACTGGGCTCCTGTGAGGATGCAGAATAAGAGGTGACTTAGCAGGCTCTCCATATTGTTCAAGAGACCTTTTTGTGTGAACAAAGTGGGAAACGACCCAACATTCAGTCAATTCTAATGAATCCATGCCAGAATAGCAAAGAAACATCCTGAAAAAGGGCTGAGATCCCCAAGCTGCAGTAAATTGTATTATCCCAGACTGGTTTGGGTTGAAGGGACCTTAAAGCTCATCCAGCTCCAACCCCTGCCACGGGCAGGGACACCTTCCACTAGAGCAGGTTGCTCCAAGCCCCTGTGTCCAACCTGGCCTTGAACACTGCCAGGGATGGGGCAGCCACAGCTTCTCTGGGCACCCTGTGCCAGCGCCTCAGCACCCTCACAGGGAAGAGCTTCCAAACAACCCATGGTTAAACGCTACTCAGGCTGTACTCACTGGGTGCAGCAACTAACACCTTACACAGAATCTCACGGCGTGGACGAGCACTGATGAGCTCGAAGCAGCTTCCCAGTTCCACCCCCTGAGGTGAGAAGCCATGATTCCATTTGCAGCCAGGGCAGCACAGTCGCAAAACAGCCCAGAAACTAAGCCAGAGGTGTAGTTAAGCCAGGCGTCCAGCAAATTAAACATTAATTAAGCACTTAAGTACTAAACACCTTGCTAAGTCCTCCTAACCAGCCTAAACGTTAACGGGGACACCAGAAAACACCTGTAGGTGCGGGAGTCGACTTGC